AGTATTACGAGGTAAAAACTAACATATTCACTCCTAAAATATTCGTGTTCTCTGGTATCCACTCGGTGTTTATGTGCTGCTGTTTGATTTGGTAAGGAGGCTTTAAGGCTGGTAGAAAAATGAGTTGCCAAAATGTCTTTTGTGACAGTAGGTTTAGACATGCTAAAGATTATGGGGAGAGAAAAAGTTTTTAGGCTAATATTTCCATATGAGTAAATAGAATATAATAGTTATTACTTCATTCCAAAAGATAAGCAGCAATTTGGCACAATGGATATCATGCAGACACTATTTCACAGTTTAGTGGTGCATGCTGACGGTTTTCAGTAGAGCTGTGAAAGGTTAATAAAAACATTTTTAGCTTTATCTATCCTCTTCTTTTCATACACATTAAATCAAATGTTCAAAGCCTCAGTGGATTGCTTTATTAGAACTGGGGTCAACTGACCCAAGAGGCCAGCTTCCATTTCCATCCATTTAATGCATGGACACAGTTCAGTTTAATTTGCTGAATTCAAAGGTAAAAAAATGGCACCAAGTGGCTTTGTAGGGGGAGAGATGTTAGTATGTAACAAAGAAAAGAGTATTGTGATGATCCATCTTCTGAAATATTATCTCAGTGTTCGCTTTAGAGCATAAGTGACAATGCAGCTCTTCCCATTTTAAGCTGAAGAAATAGGTTTACCTGCTGCATGTTTGTGTAAGAGATTGTTCTTCCATTTTCTAACATGAGAAAAAATAGTCACCACAGCGAACTCCCAGAAATAGTCTCATCCTGTTCCTTTTGTCACAGGCAGGATCACACTATCCAATAAATCTGGTAACCAATTCACTAGCCTTTAAACACTCCTAGAACTGTCTCTACTGTATACATTACTGCAGCAATCCTTTCAGATTTCCTACCCAGACATGTATATATACTTTCTATAGCTAGAACAGAGCAAAAAATCCTTTGAAATCACTGAAGCTTGGACCTGATGAAATTAAAGTGAAAAAAAAAAACCCAAGGATTTATATCATTTAATTGATTTTCCTACAGCAAAAGAAGATTTTCATGATCTTGTGTATTTTTTCCTGAGTTTGTAATTTACTGTCAAATACATAAGGTTTATCCAACACAAAGGAAACCATGATATTATAAGCATATTATATGTTCAGGATATGACAGAAAATTAATAAAGCCAAGAAATTCATTGGAGAAGGTTATTACTCTGAATTTTATAAAATCAAAGGTCTGAGAAAACTCCCATTGGCTTTCAAGGGACCACAAACAATGGTCTTTTCAATTAAAACAAGCCTTAATTCTGAATTCTTAAACTTCTAACAGTTTTGCCTGACAGTGGTTTTACCATAACCACTTGTCATGTAGAGGAGAAAAACTATGTAGAATTTCAAAATTTACTTTGAGGGTGTCTTGGTCCTTGCAGGTGTCATGTAGTTACATCTGCAAACCTGGCAACAGCAGCGTAATCCTTAGCTCCCTCATTCACAGCTCCATCTTCTCAAATCAGAGGATGGGGTTGCAATCAGGAAGGTTGCATTACACTGTCACAAGTACCACCAGAATCTGAGTTCTGTGACTCAGCCTTCTTGGAAAGATACGTATCACTCTTACACCTCATCTTTCTGCAGAAGAAGGAATATGTCCATAATAGAAGTCAAAAATTGTTCCAATAGATGATGGGTGAGCAAGGGCAGCAGGTTTGAAGCAGTTAAATGAAACAGGTATGCCAAAGTAAGGATAGAGCCATGGAAAGGTCGAGAACTCTGTTCTGTTACCGCCTAATCTGCATATCTTACATTTGACAGTACCCTGCATATAAGCACGTGGAGCTGGTTATCCTCTAAAAAAGAAAAAAAAGAGTAAAAAGAAAAAAAATTGTGCTGTCACTCAGAAATGTGTAACTATTTCTGCTGCTAAAATAAGGGAAGTTTTGCCTACACAGATGCAACCTGGAGTCAATTTTATGTCCAACTTTTCAGCTCTTCTGAAAGGGATGTCTATATTTTTTTAACAGGACTGACAGCCTTCTTCCCCAGCACAAGTATAATGAAGGGCTGTTGCTGTAATCAAGAAATCACTTGTTGCAGCAGCAACTTTCAATCTTGATATCAACCTGAAACAATATTAACCTTCGATCATTTAAGGGCAATTTCTTTAGGATGCAGAAGTTATCTAAGCAGTGATTTGGGAGGTTCTGGGTTGAAATCCCTGTGGCCATTTCAGCCTATTTGTTGTATTTTCATCAGCACTGTCAGTAAGGTAAAAGCACTGTGCTGTAAGCTTTCATGCCCGTTATTGAATGAGGAAAACCATCCTGGACTTTCTGTAGCTCTTACTGCTGTACTGACTGGTCATGCTTAAATTCAATTGGTATTTGACTCAGAAAGCAAAGGCCTGGCATGACATTAGGCAGTGTACGGCTTAAATTGATGTGTTCATCGGGATCTAAAAGTTTGTGCTAATGCAATGCAATTTTTCTTTTATCAGGCAAAACAATGGTACTTGATGATGGCATGTGAAGATAATAAAAATGTTTCTCAGAGAATGGTTCCAGTCAGCTTGTTCAGATGCTATGCTGAAGTAAATGGGATACTAGTGGCACGTGACTAAAAATAACAACAGTAAACATTTTACTTAGGCTGTCATTTGAGGGGTTAGCAATCATGGTAGTATCCATAGTGGAAGGTAACATTACACGTCATGCATTCTGACAGATATTCTTTTCTTTTTTAATTTCTTTTTTATGTTCTCACTACACCATTGTAATGTCAACAGCTCGCCCCGTTGGTAAGTAACCATCCTTCTATCCATTTTAGCATGGCTTCATGCAATGCTTCATCTTTCATTTGCAACAGCGTTTAACTGGCTGAACTCAACAGCCAGCACTTAATAGTTGTAACTAACACCAGGCAAGTGATTTTGACTGACAAAGTGCTATTTTCAACTTTGTATTTTCTGCTTTATCGTGTATAAACACATTTGCCAAATAACCAACAAATACCAATCAGCAAAATGGGGTGGGTGTGGTGATGCCGAGCCAAAATCACTCTTTTAGATGTTTGTAATGGTCTGTTTACGGGCCTGGTGTAAAAGCCATTGAAATCAACAGAAGGGATTGTATTGACTTCAGTGAGCTTCTACCAGGCCCTAAACAATCAGCTCATCATGCTTTTATTGCATAGCAGTAAAAGCACAGGCTTTGCATGTCCCGTCTTTCTTGTATCATAAAATAATAGAACTTAGGAGTCGAAATGGACCTTACAGATCATCTAGTCCCAAGCCCCTGCCATGGGCAGGGACACCTCCCCACTGGATCAGGTTGCTCAAGGCTTCATCCAGCCTGGCCTTAAACACCACCAGGGTTGGGGCAGCCTGTCCCTTGGCAAGCTGTTCCAATGTCTCACCAGCTTTACAGTAAAAAGCATTTTTCTCACATCCAA